TTTTTTTTTTTTAGTTTTTGATAGAGGATGCATACTCACCACAGAAAGATGGAGAGAGAGAAGGAAAGTGAGAAATCATTCCCCACATGAGATGGCTGTGCCTCAATCCCTTCTCCTCAAGTCTCCTCTTGGGATTTTTGGGCACACATGCACCAAACATGGCCATGTGGGATCCAGTGCCTTAACCTCCATGCCACCTGCTGGCCTTGACCTTCCTCTTCCCTTGTGAAAGCCCCATGTTATCCATTAGAGTTCATTAGGCTGCAGGAAACAGGAAATAGGGTGCAACTGGCTTCAACGATGTGTCATCTGTGGTTCATGGAACCAGAAGTCCTGAAGTTGTATGCTTTGCCCAAAGTCACAATGCTAAGAGTGACAGGCACTGGGGCTTGAACCCAGGTGTTCTACTGGAGACTGGCTCTTGCTAAGGAGAGAGAAAGAGAGACAGAGAGAAAGCATCCCCCAGAGGGACCTGGCCATGCCATAGTCCTTTATCCAGTTTGCCATCCCATCAGGATCCTGGGCACGTGTGTGCATCCAGCATGTTTTTCAAGCCCACAGGGCTGGGATTCAAGCCCCCTTCAGCCACATGGGCGCCAGCTTCCTTGGCACAACACTTAACTGCTGCACTGCAGGCTGGCCCAGATCCCTCTTCCTGATGGCCCTGGAGTGTCATGGAAACATGACCCTGACTGGCAGATACTGTCAGGGTCTATGCTTCTTTTCACTTTGTGTTTGCTACCTGACATGCTGTCTTGTCCCCTCAGTCTTTGGGGGCTCCCCCACTGCAAAATGGGCCTATGGCCTCAGGAACCCTATGGGAGCTAAGTTCAGAGTCTCCCAGCTGTCTCTGGCCATCTTCCACTTCCCCACTCCCAATCCCTAGGTGGATCCCACGGTCCCAGACTTCTGGGCCAGGGGAGAGGTGTCCAGAGGTTGAGCCCAGGGGCTGGGATGCCCTTCCTGTTACCCTTGTTCCATCTGTCTCTGCAGGGATTGCTGACTACAGACCCAAGGATGGAGAAACCATCGAGCTGAGACTAGTTAGCTGGTAGCCCCAGGCTCACCCCAAGAGCCTCACACGCACACTCTGTGATCTTCTGCCCCCCACTTCCATCACCCCCACAACAGGCACTGGCCTGCCCCTACTGTTGCCTCCTGTGCACTGGAGCAATGTCCCGGGTCACCCCAGCCACCACCCCTGAGGGGGTCCTAAGCTACAGCCCACTCTGGAACAGGGAGCCAAGCTATGTCTGGGGAAGTCTTTTGGCCTGGGGCTGGCCCAGCCTGGCTGTGCAGGCCTCCCATGAAGCCACCCCCATGGTCCGAAGGTTGTGACACACCCCAGACCCCTTGGCAAATGGAGGGCACGTCTGGCAGCTGCTGGCATTGTGAGTTCCGCCTGCTGTGGGATTGGGGTCCTGCAAGGAGGCCTCTGTTGGCTCACGACCGTGGCCCTGGCCCCAGATCGTCACTCCACTTTCAGGGTGAGTGGCAGCCCCAGAACTGGCCAGGGCACAGAAGCCAGCAAGGCCTTGGCAGGGATGCTAGGTGCCTGCCTGTGAACTGATTAAAGCATGGATTGTGCATGTGCTGTAGCGTCCTCATACTCCATAAGTGCAAGGGCAGTGAGCAGGGGCGGGGAGCAGAGGGTGCATGAGTGTTCTGGGTGCGGGAGGAGAGATGCTGGCTGTGGCGGCTGACCACTGTTTACAGAGCACCTTACTAGACACAGCTTTACTTGCACAATTCTGCAAGGCTGGTGATCTTTTCTTTTCTTTTTTTTAGGAAGATTTTTGCTATAAGGCACATGCACTCGCCAGAAAAACAGAGAGACAGAAAATGAGGAAACAATTCCCAGGGAGGGATGGATACACTGCAATCCCTTTTCCTCCATTCTCCTTTCAGGATTTTAGGCAAACACACACATGCTCCCGGTGTGAGTTTTAAGCTGCCAGGTCCGGGACTTGAACCGCAGTTGACTACATGGGAGTCCAGTGACGTAACCATTACACCCTCTGCTGGTCCCAAGGCTGGTGATATTTTCACCTCTGCATGACAGATTAGGAAACTGGTGCTCAAGAGAGGACGTGATTTCCCCAAGCTCACAGACTAGGCAGCGCTGCGGGAGGCGGCAGACATGGCTTAGGAGACTGGGATGCCTGGCCTGGGGCAGCCTCCTGGCTCCTCCACTCAAACATGGAAAACTGGGGGCTTCAGTGACTGTTAGGAATACATGGCAGAACCCCAGTTCTACTGGAGGCCCAGGACCCTAGATATAGGGTTAGAGTTAGGGTCTCTACTTTTTGCCAAGGCATAGTCAGGGCACCAGTCCAGGCCTTGGCAGCCTGGATGTGGGGACACTACCTGTCACTGGAGTCCTGGGGTTCTGGGCTGCCTGCTGGGAGGATTCAGCCCAGGGAGGCACCCCCATGCCCCAGCCCACCAAAGAAGGGGCTCTCTGATGAATGGCATATTAGGTGCGGGTCTTTGTGCTCGGAAGGCATGACCAGGTGCTTGGGGCCCTCAAAGCTACCAATTATGCACGTGTTCTTCCTGGCCAGCCATGGTGGGCTGACATGCCGGGATGCTGGACCGACATGGGAAGGTCCTGAGTTTGCATCCTGAGGCCTCCCTGTACTCACTGCTCAGGTACCTTGATCCAGCTATCTGAGGCTGGGGGTTGATCACAGTGTGAGGACCTGTGAGGGGTGCCTCAGTCTCTTTCTCATGCAAGAAATAAATAAATACACTTAAAACCAAAAATGTGCCTCTCTCTTGAGCACAAGCTTCAAGAATTTAGGGTCTAGGCAGGCAGGGGAAATAAGGAATTCAAAACATTCTTTCAGGCCAACCCTGTAGCCTAGTAGTTAAAGGAACCAGATTCCACATGGCTGACTATGTTGGAATCCTGGCCCAGAGGCTTGAAAAAAAACACTGGGTGTGTGTGCGTTCCTTAAATCCCAACAAGATAGAGAAATGGAGAAGGCATTGTGGCATGACCATGCCCATTGGAGAGTGCTTTGTCCACTCTCTCTCTCTCTCCCTATTTTGGGGCCAGCAGGTGGCATAGTGGTTAAGGTGCTGGATTCCCATATGATTGACCCTGTTTCAAGTCCAGAGTCAAGACCAGGCAGCTTGAAACTCATGCCAGGCACATGTGCTCATGTGCCCAAAATCCCAAAAGGAGAACGGAAGGGAAGGGACTATATATAGCATGGCCATCCCCCTCAGGGGGAGGGGTGATTTCTCACTTTCTCTGTCTCTGTCTTTCCAGCAATTTCACACACCCTATAGCAAAATATCTTTTAAGAAAACAAAACAAACAAACAAACAAAAAACGCTAAAGCCACACTGTCCCAATCTGGTCTGTGTCTCCCGCCACCACTCAGGCTGCATATTCCTGGGCACCTTGTTTTCTCCCTTGCTGAGCCTCCTGGACAATCGGTGGGGTACTTTGTACCTGCCTCCGGGGGTAAACGTGAGGGTGGATGGGAAGGAGCCCTCTGTTCCTGGCAGCTGGGAGGTAGGTCACCCCACACCCTGGCCCTCTGGGCTCTTGTCTGGGGTTGCCTGGTATGTGCACTGCCTTCAGCCTCCTTCCGCAGGGTCCTGTTCATCCCACCAAGGCCTGTCAGGCTTCATCTTGGCTGCTCTGCTTTCCTAATAGTCCCCTTGGGAGAAGTGTAGAGAGATTTATTTTTTAAGAACTTATTTATTTATTATCATCATCATTTTCCAATTTGCTATAGGACACATGTGCTCACCAGAGAGGGACAGAAAAAGCAAGAAAGCAAGTCGCCAGGTCCAGAACTCAAACCACAGTCAACCATATTGGAGTCCAGCACCCCAACCACCATACCACCTGTTGGTCCTGTAGACAGTTTTCTATTTCTCACCATTCCCTGCCAGCTCAGCTCTAAGAAGATCAGGATATTCCTATTGTTTTAAAGATTATTATTATTGGGAACCAGCAGTTAGCGTAATGGCTATGTCGCTGGAATCCCACGTAGTCAACTGCGGTTCGCGTCCAGGACCCGGTGGCTTAAAACTCACGCCAGGTGCGTGTACGTGTGTGCCCAAGATCCCGAGAGGAGAATGGAGGAGAAGGGATTGCGGCATGCTCATCCCCTCTGGGGGGTGATTTCTCACTTTCTGTCTCTATGTCTCTCTCTGTCTGTGTGGCGAGCGCACACGCCCTATAGCAAAAAAACCTCTCCAAAAAGAAAAAGATTATTATTATTGTGGGATCAGAAGGTGGTGTGGTGGTTAAAGTACTGGACTCCCACATGGCTGATCATGGTTCGAGTGCCAAACCCAGCAGCTTAAAACTCATACTGGGCACGTGTGCATACATGCCCAAAATCCCAAAAGGAGAATGGAGGAAGGGTTGCCACGTGGCCACCCCTCCCCAGGGTGTGATTCCTCATTTTCCTTCTCTGCAGTGAGCACACACACCCTATGGCAAAACCCTAAAAATATTATACATATATATATATAAATTGTTTCGTATCAGAGGAAATTTACTGGAAAGCTGACAGAATCTCAAAAAGAATATATCCCATAGGAAGCCCGAATTCTTCCTCCCGAAATCCAGAGAGGAGACTGGAAGAGAAGGGATTATGGAGTGGCCAGCCCCCTGGGTGCTTTCCCACTTTCTCTCTCGCTGTCTCTAGCAGAGCAGTGTATGACAAAATTATTTAAAAAATAAAAAGTATTTGGAGGGGGTGTGGCTTTCCTCTTGGCTGTTTTCTGCCCACAGAAACTCTGTCTAAATGTCCTCATACTGGGGCCAGGCGCCGAACTCCCATATGGCTAACTAGTTTGAGTCTGGAACCCAGCGGCTTGAAACTCACATAGTCCTTTTGCATACATGACCAAAATCCCAAGAAGGGATTGCGACTGGCCTTGCCCCCCACCCCAAGTGATTTCTCGCTTAGTAAAACAAAACAAATAAAAAAGAGAGCGTACGTGCCCTATAGCAAAACAAAATTCTCAAAATAAAATACAAAAGGTCCCATATTTTGGTCCTCAGGCTGGAAACCTTCCTATCTGCACCCCCTGTCCTGCAGTTTGAATTACTCAGCAGTGATTTGCACACACACACACACACCCCCATAGGCCTCAAAATCACCAGACAAGGTGAAAACGTAGATCCCCGAGCCCACCCCCCACAGAACTGACTCAGCAGGTCTCCCGTGAAGCTGGGTTTTTTATCTGGCGGTTGTGGTGCGGTTTGGGGAGGAGGCGCACTTGCCGCCACTCCGCAGTCTGACCACCAGAGGGCGCCGCGGGCCGGGCTGAGCGGCCCTCTTCGAGGTCTTGTTCCTACCGACAGGTTGTTGTGCTCGAAGACTTGCTGGTCAGACCACAGGGGAGGGTGAGACTTGTCCTGGCAGGCTGGAGTTTCCGCACGGGAAGGAGGCCCGCGGACAGGAAAGAGGCACACAGCCAGCTCTGAGTACTTAGCTGGGCCGTGGTCCTTGCCACCTGGACTCCAGAACTCAGAGAGTCCAGGGCCAGCTTGCAACCTGGGCCGACCTGTCCTGCTCTGGGGCGCGCTATTTTCCTAAACCTGAGCTCAGAGAGAGCATCTGTCGTCCTGGTTGGAAAACACACCCAGACAGGAGCACGGGCTCGGGCTGTTCTGCCTCCCAGCCCTGCGGCCGGGCGGGGAGTAGACCCTAGGAATCCTGCTATGAGTCAGCCCCGAGTGCCCAGGGACAGGACAGGGGCTGCTGGCCAGCGATGGATGCGGGTGGGGGCATCCGGCTTCCGCCGCTGTGAGAAGCCCTGGTGATTCAGCTTCCCTCTGCCCGCCCAGAGGGGCGCCGCCCTGGGCCAGGAGGCGGGGGCAGGAGTGGGAGGAGGATGCTGGAGCTATGGCGGGGCTCTCAGGGGCCCCGTGGTCCAGTCTGCTGGATGCTCAGGTCCTACGAGATGACCCCAATGACCGTGACCAGCTATCAAGAGAGACTGGTCCTGAAATGGCGACTGAAGACAGCTTGGTCGCCCCGAGGGATAGCCCAGTGTCTCTGGCCTGAGTGTTGGTTGCTATGGGGGCATCGCCTTGGCCTGGGTGGGAAGAGGCCTGACCCCCACTAGTGGCAGGACTGCTGGCCGCTCCAGCTAGAGGAGCTCTGAGGATCAGACGCGCAGGCGGAGGGAGGAGGCGGCACAGATCCGGAAGGCCAGGCCGATAAGGGAGGGGCTGCGAGCAGGTG